GACTGAATGCAATCAGTATGCCATCGCACAGCAGTTCAGTTCATCGTAAACCGAATAATGGAACCACGAAAAGTTTTTGTTATCCTCGACTGAGCATTGAATGGGGATTACTCGAGTAATTTTATGCGATCTTAATACGACAATGGCAACAACATTCGTGGAACCGATCCAGCCTTCCCTCATATTAATCCCCTCTGTTTACTTTTCTATTGAAATGATGTTTTCGCATTGCACATGCACCAAGCAATCATCTGAACGCTAATGATGCATCGTTTAGAAGAATCTATCAGAAGAAAGAAATATTCATCAAATACTCATTCAGACAACTCCTTCAATTCCGCTTACTCGTTCCGTATTTCAAAAAGTCAATGATGCAACTTAATCAAGAAATGTGACAGTAACGAACGAGCACAACGACCGTGCTACTGCGGTTTGCAAACATGGATAAGTTCTGCGAAAGATTTGGCTATGGAATTTGAATTTTTCACGTCGAAAACAGACATGAAAAACTTAAATCGACGATCCTGATGAACCATGTTTTATGATCGTAACACTTCACATTTGTGAAAAATGTGTAGTAAATTAAGGGGACCAATGCAGTAGGTAGATCAATTTTACGATGTTCGTCAGTTGGAAACTTGATAGTAAAGTGTTCTCACATCTTATTAAACGCATATTTTATGCAGACCTCCGTTTGTATCTAACGCATCTGGTCACATTTGAATAAATACGCGATCCTTTTTGATGCGAATTACCCTCAACTACACCGTCGAACACAAAAGATTCTGCTTGCTGCCATTTCCAGACACTACGGACAGTTAGCAATGCTGTCTTTTCGGTTGCGACTTGCTGACAATTCTGACGAAATTCGTTGAGAAATGAATTACGTTGTAAAATGAGAACCTACAAATTCACATTTAAAGGTGCTCAGTTCCAATCGAATAGATAATGTCAGTCATCGAAGCACATTTCTAATTGTTGAGCACGATGAACGTGCCGTGCCGTTAACGACAGTGAAATCGTTTTTCATAGTGTGAAACGAATTTGCAATTTTGGATGAAACCAATTGTTGCACGATACTGCTGATTTCGTCGCCATTTCAACGTTTATTTACGATCTCACCAAATGAATGCTCCATTCGAACATTTTGATAACCATCAGTGAAAATGAACGACACGTTACAAAGATGCTTGCTATTATGAAATGGAATTAAGCGATAAACTTTGCAGCATAAGAATCAATCCAACACAACCATTGAAGCATAGGTAACATTAATCAATGGATAGTTGGAAACAATACTTGCATTTATCTGTCAACAGGTTTCAAGTTTCAGACTCACAGCGGGATGTCACTCATAGAACTGACTGATCGGTCTCGATTTCATATAATCTCATACCAGAAATACTCATTCAGAGTTTGATGCTCTCTAGAAAATGGCACAACACCTGATGTTATTCAGAATGAGTTGAACAATGAACGAAAATATATCGCAGGGAATNTTTCAGAATACTCAAAACATCATTTGGATGAAATATGTAAATCAAGATATGAAAGATACACATATGAGAAATGCAACATATTTGTTGCATATTTAGATAAAATGCATGCTAATAGCCAAAACAAAGGCATTGTATGAAAGCTGAGAAACTGTAACAAAGAATGTTATCTACGAATGTAATCTTTCAATAATGTGAGAATGCAACGAAGAATAATGCGTATAAAAGGAAGCTAGCGCATAAACAAGTCGAAATCCGAGTCAAATAGTCATTCGTTAATTCGCACACATCGCTCAACAGTCGTGTATCAACTCTCCCAGGACTGCGAGTCGTAATCATTGATTTAAAATTTAATAGTGATCACTAATTACAGTTTGATTATTATTTCGTTAATTGTATGTTGAATACTTCCCAAGATTGGGGCATGACGTGCTATTGATATTGTGTTAATCGTATCCACCGACAATAAATTGTTATATCAATATATCTATATTCAGCAGCACACAAAAACTTGTTAAATTCTTACTGTTGGTTGTCGATCAGATGATACACGAGGAATGATAGTGCAGATGGTAGATGCTATTAGAAATCGAACATCGCGTAGAAACAAGATGGATGGATGTGATTTTTCCATCTCAGTGACAGCCGTATTCAATGATTTCAAAAAACAGTTGTTGAAAGAATGTCTTCGAATTTGGTTGTGAGTGGTATCATTTTTGGGCAACACAGACACACTAAAGTTAGTTGGGTGCAGTTAATCTGATTTATAAACACTTCTGGCGTAGATGTTCCGATGAGAGTGCATACATTATATCAATCCCATAAATTTTCGTCGCTAAAAAAGTTTTTTAGCTGTGAATAAATTAGATTTTGAGTATTTATGTGTTATTCGTCATGAGAAGCAAACATTCTGACATCATGTAAAGAATTTGCAAAATGCTTAAAGTGACATGAAAATAGGAAAATTTAGAAATTGCGAAAAAAAAGATCACTGCTGTGGGAACAGCTGCGATCGAGCAACGCTGATATATTTATTCAGAAAGTGAACATCGAACGCCGCCGCCGCCTCATCATCCCATTTCCAACATTTTATAATTCATTTCGAAACCGAAAATCATCAGTGGAGACATCCAATTGGTGGTAGTTAGCGGAAATGCAGTTGTTTTAGTGATGTGAAACTGCAACGACCGTTGGCAGAAATGGTGACGTGATTGTTGTTGGTATGATTTTGCTCGTTAATTTTTATGGAATAATGATGGAGAATACTGATGTAGAAGTGGGGTGATGAAGGTAAATAGTTGTGCTAAGATATGTACCACTCAATAAAGATGATTTTTGAGAAGAGGTATGTGAAGAATATTGGGTTTGATAGTCGTCAATGTTTCAATTTTATGATTTGTTTAACACATGCTGAATGTTGAAAAAAGTTGCTTATTTAAAAAGTATTACTTGAAGCTTCGCATATGCTAGGCCCTCAATCTAATAATAATAATGTTAATCGAGCTGCAGAACACAGCCGACCGCAATGAAATGACAAATACCCCACGCAGTACCACATAACAAAGGCTATTCTTTGGATGTTCACTTTGAAATTACAGCAAAGTTAATTGCATTCAGATATCTTTCGGATTCCTGGATTGGCTACAATTAAATTTGCCGTAATTTCATTTCATCTTTCGATGATATCTTTCGCGCTGAAATATTCTTGTTTAAGGGCAGTGGGCAATTTCATAGTGTTGCTGCCCAACTCGCATTTGTGCCGATTGGCTATTGGCTAAGTTTCATCTTCATCTTCTAGGTCATATGCCTGATCTTGAGAAGATTCTGAAAATACGCACAGACATACCAAATTGACAGTGTTCATTGTAGCTTAAAGTGCGCATACTTTCAAAGTGATCAAATGAAATTGCATAAGATCTTCGAATCTAATGAAATCTTATAATACCTCCAAAAAAGATATCCGATAGGTTTCGCAATGAGTTTTTGATTGCTGACCGAGTAAAACATCGCACTATTATGAGGCTTGTGAAAAGATCAACGTAGATAGTTGTGGCACGCGAAATACGTGATCGATCTGGTGCCAGAACACGCCAGTCTTGCACCAGTAATCAGCAAGCTGTGAGAAAAGGCAGATCAGCGGCGATGAGAAGTTGAATTGAGAATGCGTTGAGGAGCGTTTGCTTGGGAGTTGGACGTTTAGATAAACAGATGTATAAATCATTTTCTGCGCATTAAGAAATGAACATTTAATCATTCTCCAGCCAGTTACTCTAGCTATATATCTTTATACTCAAATTATTTGTTATCAAACAGAATCACTGTGCTGTAACGATCCAATGCATGCAGGCGATACCTCATATGAAAACGATGGATCAGTGCTGAAGCATAGCGAACAAGCCATTGAGAATGCCTCGATGAACGAGGTTATACGCATGAATCCGTTTATTTATCTACCCATAAGCTTGATCATTTCATATTCATTTACAACATTGTATCATCTAAAACAAACTGAATAGTTTCCATGAATGCCATTATCGCTGTTCTAGTCAAAACACCAATAGCATATTCCAAAACAGATAACGCCAATTGTATGTGCTAGATTGAATACGTTCAGAAGTATAATCAAAATTATCAGCTGTTCGCTTGTGGACTACCACAAATTCACATTGTTCTGTTGCGAGAACAAATTCACATTCGAGGCAGTTATGATTTGCGAAACAGCAGAAACCGGCTAAGAACTGCACTCAAATCGAACGAAAGCAACAAACGACTTATACTCGTTGGGAAACAAAAAAGAATTGAGTGCTCAATTGCCAAGAGAGAGGGCCCATAAAGACTCCATATGATGAAGGTGAAGCTTATTGAGACTAAGCTTGGATTATAAGCGCTTTCTGCTGTTATTTATACTATAAATGTTTTCCAATTGTTTCAAGTTTCATGCCACATGTGCTCCTATACATCTACATCATCGTTTCAAACGACTGATTGAATTTTGGTCACTTGTCGAAATGATTTATGAGTTAAGCAAGGATATTACAAGTTAAGAACATTGGGTTGAGTTGGATCATCAGATGCACTTTTTTGTGCTGCAATGGATGTTGCATGAAAATGAAGGATTAATATTCCAGTTTGATGAACTAATATTTTGTTTATCGTTTAGATGCTGGATTAGTTAACTCGAGCGAACATTATCATTACATTTGAAAAGCGTGAACAACATCTCTTATTATTATGAAAATGAGCTTGTATACGACGCATAAATAAATGCTCGGATGAATAACTCCTGCATTGTANCATTCTAACAAACCAAAATATGCGCATCCACCTATATAACCACATCTGAATAATAGGAGATATGGATTTATCAAGGTAACGAGCAAAAACACCATCAATATTGGACTGCTGTTAAAGCATAAATGCGTTGATAATGAATACTAGAAAGATTCAACAGTTAGTAACAGATTATGAAGCGTGTGCATTGACTGTCGGTGAATTAATATCTATCTATGAACTACTTGAACGTTGTATATGAGTGGCTCGTTCCTCTCCTTCGCGATTATAGAGGACTGTTTGAACGTTCGATCCAGATCCGAAAGAATCAGCCGCATCGTAGACGAGTTGATCGGGAGGTGAGGCAACTCCTTGATTGTGAGCGAATACCTTCAATTCAACCGATATATGCCAAACAGCTTATAAATTATTTTTCAAATCCGCTGAAGCCATTCACTGACCATTCAGTGAAAACATTTTTAAGAAACAGCCATTTGAGATCAATTTTGTGGCTTCAGATTTTTCGTAAAGCTTACTCGAACAGTTTTCCCGGCTCTGAGCACGAAGTCTTTCGGGAATGTGTAAACGATCTCTTTCTTGCCGTCAATCTTGCGTTTCAGTTTCCACTCGCCAATGTTCTCCTCTTTAGCACGATGCGTATTCTGAAGCGTTATATAGGTTCCACCAGCGCCGATGTCCTAAAATTTTTTGCCGATTCATGATTCATCCCGTCATCGTAATCATATTCATACAAAATTTCTAAGAAATACGTCAACTTCTGAACAACGAATGCACTTTTCGAATTTCACATTTATTAAAAAGATCTTTCAAAGAAAGGATACAGAGCGTTTGTTAACTTGAGATCATAATCAACCTTCATTGAGCACTTCATTAGGAATTCATAAAATCTGTGAATGATTGATGAGGAGGATTTGACATGACCGACAGATATAGATTGCAATACTTTTATACGAAAAGCTATGGAGCGGTGTCAGGTGTGTTTATTTTGCAAGGATGGATATAAGGTTAGTGACCTGAATCGAAACGTTGCCTTTAGCGGAACGTTGGAATGAGCTGCGAGATGCTGTCTCTCCCTTAACGACCCGTGTCGTTTCTGAAAAATAAAACAGAATCGCTGAAGTCGACAAAACAACGAAATCTTATAAATGTAGTGTAAACCACTGATCAAAACACTAAAGCATCACAAAGTGCTGCAGGCTGATTTTCTTTGATTAAGGAAACAAATGAAANCGGCAAAGAACATATTGATGTGCACTTATTATTCAGTTCATCATCGAACTGTAATTTTCAGTGAATTGCTCAACATAGTAAAAACACATTGCCGAATCATTCTTTCGGCAATAGTTTGAACTGACCCTTCGACCACTTCAAAACCGTCTGTCTCATCATACCACCTATATGAACTTTATTCTTATTTGGAAAAACCAAAAGAATGAAAGGTTTGAAGTTGATTTATTTCAATCGCTGTTGATCACATTCAGCCGTTTGCATGAATTAGAGTTCTACTCTGAACGATACCTGTGCCTTCTTGCTGGGTGATTCCGTGTGTTCGCACAACTTGTTCAACTAGTTGCCGCAATCCTGCGCGATTCTCCTCTCCTTCTAACATCTTGCGAAAAATCGCTATTTCAGCATCCAATGTCTGGAAATCAACATCGCATAAGTTCTGAGCTGATCGCTACGAAACGAATCAATTCAGTATTTTCACATTACTTGCACTTTTCACGCAAGCGATGTAATTCTTAGCAATTCAATACCCGACCACAACACTTCTCACTGATAAGGTGTACGCTTCAATAACAAATACTGAGTGGTGTGTGTTATTTCACTGAATAAAAGCGCAATTTGAATGAAGAATCTATTAATATAAAGTTTATAATTTAAAGCAACATGTAAGTTTAATTGCATTTAAAGAAGTTTAATGAAGCAACGTTCACTGGTCCATAACAAAAAAAGTGTGTTGTAATGCTCTATGAGGCAGGCCATTGCTGTACGACCAATTGCAGTGATTTTGCATGAACGCAACGAGAGAAAAAACAATGACTGATTACCTGCTTGGTATCGAGAAGCATTTGCAGCTCAACCATAAGTGCCTGACATTCTTCTCGCATTTTTCTGATCTGCGCATCACGATCGTTCAACGCGGCCTCATATGAACGTTGGTCGTCTTCTAATTGGAAGTTCAACTCTTGAATTTGCTTCTCGAGCATTGAATTCTGCAACAACCTTATTTTCATATAGCAGTCGTATACGGTCGCGTCAAATATTCATTCATTTTCACTGTTTATTCATTTTAAAGGCAGAAATGAATCGAAAACACCTTAAAGTAGATAACAAAACTGAAATGAATCAACCTAAATAACTTCTGAGTCAAAACAATGATATCTCGTCGAGGCAAAAACTCGAAATTGGAGAGTTGATCAAATTGATATGGGACGAAAATGGATGAAACCTCTAAAATCGAACAAAATTGACTAACACGGCTCTCTAGATCGGCAAGTTTACCGCGTAAATCGGTGAGTTGAGTGCGTAACCTCTTCACTTCTTCCTTAGCGTATCCTTGCTCCATTGTTTGCCGAGCAGATTGCGTTTGAATCTCTTGCACTTTGAGACGATACCATGATTCCATATCGTTGCGATTCACGTTCGATATCTTTAAGGAATAACATCTCACGCGTTCAACAAAAAAAATGTTTCATTCCATTTGACGAAATGCGATATTACTAATTACATGAGAGATTCTTCGCTGACGATCATTCTGGATCAGTGGGTGATACTGAGATTCGTTATAAAAGTGACGAAAGCTTTTCTCGGCTCATCGAGCGCATGCATGATTCCTCTGGAATGCTAATCGCAATCATAGATTGATGAATAAAGCGAAGATGTAATAACCTGATCGTACTCAGTACGAATATCGCGTATTGCAGAGGCGAGTTCGTTCTTGAAAAATTCCCGATTCTCCGGTGTTGTGTCACGTGCGGCCAAACCTTGTAGCTCATTTATTTCTTGATCGTGTACACGTTTCAAGAAATCGATCTCTTCGAGCAGCGTTTGCACTTGGTTTTGATAGTCGATTCGATAGAGCGTCTCTTGATCAAGATCCTTAAATCACGAACCAATTATTCATGTGATGCACGTATGCAATCCCTTAACTGCATTCTTAGTTACAGTCTAAAATATCGGACGACTGCTATAAGCGTAATCTTCTCGTGAATACTCTTATTACTGTGTAACCTTATTATCATTCTTTTCGGTAAAAATCTGACCATATCACCGTCTCCCAAGCTGAACATTTCGTGCAGCCAAGATCTCAACTTAAATTGCACGGTGAAGCGAATTGAGATGCTAGTAATTCGCGGGATCATACGATAGGTGCAAAAAAATGTCCGTATTCCGTCGGCTAGTTCAGTACTAACCGTGCGGGCTCGTTGAAGTTCTCCGGCGAGTCTCTGATTCTCCTTCTTGATTCGAAACACCTCTTCCTCAAGTTCCACAATACGACGCTTCAACGCACTAACATC